GAGGTCATACTGCCTCTGTCATCAGAGTATGAAGATTTCTGTCTTCTGGGTTGTTGCGCTGTGTAGTCTGGTCGATGTTAACCAACGTTTCAGAGGTCATGCTGCCTCCGTGATCTGGGCGCCCTGATAAAAACATAAGAATGTCCCTTCGACGCATGGTGTATTAATTGATCTTAACAATAATTTTATTTATATTTTTATTGACAAAACAAATGAATGAATTACAATCTAATGTATATACATTTTATATGTTTCACCAAAAGACATGGGCATACCTTTAAACGTTGATATCTTTCTTCTCTGCTGATTGTTTTTTATTTCGGAAACTGGTTGTTGACAGAACAGCATACATTCAGAAGTCACTGGCTTTGTATTACAAACTAACCAGATAATTAAATGTATAGCCTACGATTTAATATAAATGTATGTGGTGGTTGGTGACAACTTTTTTAAATAACTATTTGCGTTACATTAAAGCATATTGTGTTGTTTTATTAAGCGAAGTTAAATAAAGATTATAATTTTTATATACTGCATTGTTAGGCTTTTCAATAAAAATGTACTACTTTAGACTTTCCGACATTCTCAATGACACCTTTCTAGTTTTGTCATAATCTTTCTGTAACTGCTTAGCAACTCACTTCTGGTTCCTTGTCTGCAGACGGGTATCGAAGTGATGACATTGTTTATGAGTGGGACAGGGAACGGCCAGTCGTAGTAGAGGAAAACGTGGAGTTGTCGCAGTACAGGCTGGTCAACTACACGACTGACCATGTCCCAAAATTTATAAGAGGCGTCGGTAAGTACTTCTGGAGAAACTCCCCGTCCGCATGTCGTAATTGTGTGATTTTTATATGAAGACCTCTAAGGGTACGCAGTGATCGCATATTTCCCTGCAAACCTCTTGCTGGACGTGGTTCTCATTTTAATAAAAAAATAAAAATACAGTTTTCCAACTATCCAAATTCAGTTTGAGAAACCGATTCGTCATTTTCTGCTCCTTGAAATGGGCATACTCCATTTTCACATAGACCTTGCATTTGCGGCCTTCACTCTTACGACGACGACAGCAAAACGTGTGTTGTTGGCGCACACGATCTTCGTCGACGTGGAGAAGACAACGCTTTAACGCGTATCGCGTGTTCCAGACGTGTACTCGGTGCTCAAGACGGAGTTCCATCTTCGGCGCAACATCGGATACTTCGTGCTGCAGCTGTACGTTCCATGTGGACTCATCGTCTCTTGCTCCTGGGTCAGCTTCTGGATAGACCCCGCCGCGGTTCCCGCAAGAGTGCAATTGGGTGAGCGTGTGTTGATTACTCTCTTGTGGTCCGAGGCTCCATATGCAATGCGGTTTTGTGAAATGACAGAATAAAAACCCAGTCGCCCTCTCACGTAATTAAATGCTTCATAACAGATTACTTTAACTTTATAGATTTTAGTGCAGTATCAAATAAGATTTATTTTTCCCATGAAATTCTTATGGAAATTTTGAAGTATGAATTTTGTACGTGACTGGGATTCTTCTGTACTTGTTTCAGGGGTAACCACGGTGCTAACCATGACCACGATGGGGTTTGGCGGCCGCGCACAGATGCCGCGTGTGTCCTACGCGACAGCATTGGACTCCTTTGTTATTATCTGCTTCTCGTTTGTGTTCGCTGTAATGATAGAGTACGCTGTCATCAACTTCTTTGATAAAATTGCGGGCGACATGAAGAAACTGCTGCAGGATCGAGGCGTCAAGAAGAAGGTCAGAGAATGGCACAGGATTTGCATTGTTTGTCTTTCGTCTATTACTTCTTGTTGCTCTTGGGTTCCTTCACTATTTCCTTTATCCTTTCATGTTCCTTATTTCTTGTTTTCCTTTATTTCTGCCTGTAACTTCTTTTGTTCATTTGTTACGTACGTTCTTGATACAGCCGCTCAGTGATAGGAACTTGGTTCCTCGGTAGGCACTTGAATCTCCAGGGATGTTAACGGCATGTAACTGCCGACAACTAGAGGCTGCCGATATTGCTGAATATATTTTTTTACACTATTTATTTATATTTTTGTTTAAATCTTGTCAGTCCAATCACAATAAAATTCCTATTAAATATTAAAATATTATTATAATTAACATTTAAATATTTAAAATATATTAAATCGTGTAAAAAGTGATGATCTAATGTAAATCGAACATTTCGATGAGAACATCATTTAATATATTTTAAATATTTAATGTTAATTATAATAATATTTTAATATTTAATAGGAATTTTATTGTGATTGGACTTACAAGATTTAAACAAAAATATATATTTATCACAATATGACGCAACTTTATCATCTCACTATTTATTTATTTAAGAACAATACAGATGATGATATTTGGCTTTAGCCGCAAGAAGGCGATTTCAGAATTATACTGGATTTGCGTGCGACTATGTTGAAAGTTTGTTGAAGAGTCTCAAAACTGATGCGCTGTTGTAAGCGCCCTGTCCCTGGTTCGAAACATTCAAAACCAGTGAAGTATTCACTTGCATACAGTTCTTGCGTCTAATTGGGTCTTTCAAAGTTTCTCCCTCACACTCCTTAATGTGTATGGTCCAGTAACATTCGTCTGCTGAGTGACAATGAACCATAAAGTCCAAATTGACTTTTGACATATTGAAGCCATAAATGTCAAGGTTTGACACGTGGTACTACACCCAATTCACGACAATTTATTACCCATTAGTGTCAAAACCAAGACTTCCGGGAACCGAAGGTCCTCGCACGTCTGTGTCTTAAACACTTAGGTACATGCCAGGGAATGGAAGTATCCAGCCCAGTATTACACTCCAAACACGACAAAAAGTTAAAATTTTGAAAAGAAAACTTAAAACAAATTCAGATTAATAAAATAATAAGAAATTAAATAGTATGATTAAATTACCTCTGCAGAAGATGTAATTTGGACCGTTACATTATTTTATTCTTTCTTTCAATTTTCTTTAACTCAGTTCAGTCATGCTAACTTTACACACTCCCCGAATTCTTCACATATATCCTGTACTTACAGGCTTCACTAGATTATATCCTAAATGCTGACTAAGACAATTAATTTCTTCTTGTTTCACAGACATTGCCAGACACTGCTGATCTGAATTCTGAACAGCCCAGGTCTGCGTCAATGTTGAACATGTCTTCGCCTTCGAGTCATATCTATAGTGAGATCGCTGAAGCTGAGTCCCCTGCTGATCAGGACGCCCACTTGAAGGCCTCGGATGGAACGGAACATCGCAAGTCCCTGTCGTTGCTGGCGGCACCACTAATAGACTCCTTGAAACGAAACATCGAAAGACGTAAGTCAGAAATGAGTCTCCATCTGCCATCGCTTCCAATTGTTTCTCAACGCAGGAAATCAGAAGCCAGTCTAACCAAGCCACCAATACCTGTCATAACTGTGACCGGAAATGAGGGAGATACAGAGGACCCAGTCGAGGAAGAGTGTGTCAGAGAGGAGATACAGGGGGGACGCCATATTGCCGAAAGCGACGTCGTACATATTTCTTGTGATGACGTTTATGAAGAGGACTTTGATGAAAACAGAAATGAGAATGAAGATAAAGAAAGTGGATGTTTGGGGTATGTAAATATAGTCTTAAATTTCTTAGGAAAATGTATAATGAAACCATGGAAATCTTGGAAAAATGCTAATATTATGCCTAGAGAAGAAGAAATATCTAGAATGATAATAACCGGGGAAACGCCTGATAAATTCTCAAAAATTGATATAGAGTCCCGAAAATATTTTCCCATAGCCTTCTGTATTTTAATGACGAGTTACTGGTTTGCTTACATGTATTACATCACAGACGAGTTTCCTGTTGCTAAGGAGCAAGTGTTTTAATTAGATTAACCACACACGTGTCTTTGTTTCAGTTTGTTATGTTGGGTATATGACAAGTAGGTGCTATGTCATAATTAGGCAAACGATACTCAAATGTACGCTTTGAATTTTCCATGGCGCTGAGTCTTGTGGTTTGTAACGCCGTGTAGTCTGGTAGAAGTTTACCGTAGTTTCAGAGGTCCTTGCTGCCTCCATCATCAGGACGATCGCTCTACATGTATACATATAATCGTAAAAATTTTGGATTTTTTCGTCGATCCAACTATACGACAGTTTGCACTGCGTTATAACAAACCAGATCACCCTTGTAACGGCCTAGGTAGTTCGCCGTGATTGTGCGGCAACTTCTCCGACTTATTAGCACTGCGTGTAGTCTAAACAAGGAAGAAAAGGAACTTCATTCTGTGCCACTAAGCCACAGACACCATGTTCTGTTATATTACGTTATTTTAGATGAAGTTTTATTTCGTGATGAAACATGGCTCCCACTAAGTGGATATGTTAATAGCCAGAAGATCAGAATATGGAGTGGGCTGTGCATTACAGACGTCACTGCAGAAACTCTTCACCGAGTTTCATCAGACATGACGATAATAGTGAATGCAGGCGTCTCTGAACGCGGTGGGCACTTCCAACACTCAATATAACATTGCTTTTGTAGGATTTGAGGTTTTGACGTTGGCGAGTCCGAAGAAGGATGTCCTCTGGGTTATTGCGCCGTGTAGTATGGTAGAAGTTTATCGACGTTTCAGAGGTCCTTGCTTCCTCTATCATTAGAGCGATCATTGCCCTGATGATGGAGACAGCATACCATTTCATCCTGTCTAGACAAGCATGAGAGAGCAAGTCAAAGTCCACATATAATATTTTGATATTTTACGCTTAAATTATATACTCTGTTTGTTTATTTTTTCGTTCATTACTTTCTTTCTCAAAATTACTAATACTTCATGTAATTCTCGGCGGCTCTGTTAAATATTCTGTGTTTAGGTATGAAGACCTCAGGGTTCGTTATTCTCCAATACCTAGAAAGACCTCGCTATGGAGTCTCTCGTGTTGCGTGCCTTGCGGTTGTTTCGTGGCACGCGGCAGACAGTATCTGCGGTTAGAAGACAGCTGCAGACAGTGGCTTCCTTGCTTTGGTCTAAGAATATCGATTTCCTTTAACACACATATGCTTTTCCGGTTGCTCTGACGAAGAATGGTTCCAATGGAATCTTCTTATCATATGGTTTATGTTAGGACGCACTGGACCTTACATAAATAGGTTATATACGTTTTGTTAAGAAACGTGTAACGAATATTATTGATACGAAGTTTCGTTCTTTACAAGAAGTGCATCACGGGAAGTTTGTGTCTGTCGTTCTGCTTCGTCATGCTGAATGGATTTTGATTAAATTTGATATTGGAAAATTCCTAACAAACAGCGGACGAATTTTATTTTCATCCATATTTATCTAATATAAAACCCAATCTTATGGGACATAAAAATAATTTTACTGATTTTCTCGTAAACGGATCACCTCACAGAAACCTTATAGGCTTATATGACGTACATTAAAGATTTTATTAAAGTCTGTAACGTCTATTTCTAATATTTTAATGCGATATGTGTTGAAAAAATAAGAAATAACGTTTCAATAAAATGTTGTATCCATGTTATTTATTAGGTTTGTAAAATCATCACATAAACAGTTGCTATAAACTAATAGTAAATTTAATTAAGTGTGCTTAATACAAAAAACACATTTGTAAAATATGAGATTTCAGCTTCTCATCGCGGCGAGTATGAAGAAGGCTGTCTTCTGTTTCGTTGTACCTTGTACTCTGACAGAAGTTATGGCCCTGATGATGGAGACAGCAAGTACCTCTGAAACGTCGGTGAACTTCTATCAGACTACACGGCGTCATATTTAATTGTAAAATATTTTTATTTAGTCAGATCGAGCCTTTCTGTTCGTGTTATAATAGTCATAGAGCTATGGTATTTCGAAGGCACAATTCAAATGCAGACAGTACAATTCTTATAGAGCATGGAGCCATGAATAAGCTGCATTCATGACTAGAACAAACTCGTGGCCTGTGATTTGTTCACGTCAGTTGGCTAGAAGCAAAATTCGATGTATGTAAAAGTTCTGACATCTTTGTCACCCCAAGTTCTTAACCCCTATCCAAATCACCGTATTTTGAAACTTTTGAAATCTGCCACATTCATTGCGCTTATTATAAATACATTCTTCTTTATAACTGTCATTCTTTCATATTACAGAACTGTAAGACGTACTATAGTTAAAATTCAGAAGTTGCTACAAAGTCTTATATTAAAGGAATTAAGCTGTATGAACTTCTCCGACAAGCTGTCGGAATTTTATTCGTCAGCTATTGTCAGAGATTTCATTTGGTGTTCGCCAGAGCACTTTGCTGCCCACGGCTTCAAGCTTGTACGTTCTTTAAGCATTCACTGGCTTCTTAAATACTACATGTATACATATAATCGTAAAAATTTTGGATTTTTTCGTCGATCCAACTATACGACAGTTTGCACTGCGTTATAACAAACCAGATCACCCTTGTAACGGCCTAGGTAGTTCGCCGTGATTGTGCGGCAACTTCTCCGACTTATTAGCACTGCGTGTAGTCTAAACAAGGAAGAAAAGGAACTTCATTCTGTGCCACTAAGCCACAGACACCATGTTCTGTTATATTACGTTATTTTAGATGAAGTTTTATTTCGTGATGAAACATGGCTCCCACTAAGTGGATATGTTAATAGCCAGAAGATCAGAATATGGAGTGGGCTGTGCATTACAGACGTCACTGCAGAAACTCTTCACCGAGTTTCATCAGACATGACGATAATAGTGAATGCAGGCGTCTCTGAACGCGGTGGGCACTTCCAACACTCAATATAACATTGCTTTTGTAGGATTTGAGGTTTTGACGTTGGCGAGTCCGAAGAAGGATGTCCTCTGGGTTATTGCGCCGTGTAGTATGGTAGAAGTTTATCGACGTTTCAGAGGTCCTTGCTTCCTCTATCATTAGAGCGATCATTGCCCTGATGATGGAGACAGCATACCATTTCATCCTGTCTAGACAAGCATGAGAGAGCAAGTCAAAGTCCACATATAATATTTTGATATTTTACGCTTAAATTATATACTCTGTTTGTTTATTTTTTCGTTCATTACTTTCTTTCTCAAAATTACTAATACTTCATGTAATTCTCGGCGGCTCTGTTAAATATTCTGTGTTTAGGTATGAAGACCTCAGGGTTCGTTATTCTCCAATACCTAGAAAGACCTCGCTATGGAGTCTCTCGTGTTGCGTGCCTTGCGGTTGTTTCGTGGCACGCGGCAGACAGTATCTGCGGTTAGAAGACAGCTGCAGACAGTGGCTTCCTTGCTTTGGTCTAAGAATATCGATTTCCTTTAACACACATATGCTTTTCCGGTTGCTCTGACGAAGAATGGTTCCAATGGAATCTTCTTATCATATGGTTTATGTTAGGACGCACTGGACCTTACATAAATAGGTTATATACGTTTTGTTAAGAAACGTGTAACGAATATTATTGATACGAAGTTTCGTTCTTTACAAGAAGTGCATCACGGGAAGTTTGTGTCTGTCGTTCTGCTTCGTCATGCTGAATGGATTTTGATTAAATTTGATATTGGAAAATTCCTAACAAACAGCGGACGAATTTTATTTTCATCCATATTTATCTAATATAAAACCCAATCTTATGGGACATAAAAATAATTTTACTGATTTTCTCGTAAACGGATCACCTCACAGAAACCTTATAGGCTTATATGACGTACATTAAAGATTTTATTAAAGTCTGTAACGTCTATTTCTAATATTTTAATGCGATATGTGTTGAAAAAATAAGAAATAACGTTTCAATAAAATGTTGTATCCATGTTATTTATTAGGTTTGTAAAATCATCACATAAACAGTTGCTATAAACTAATAGTAAATTTAATTAAGTGTGCTTAATACAAAAAACACATTTGTAAAATATGAGATTTCAGCTTCTCATCGCGGCGAGTATGAAGAAGGCTGTCTTCTGTTTCGTTGTACCTTGTACTCTGACAGAAGTTATGGCCCTGATGATGGAGACAGCAAGTACCTCTGAAACGTCGGTGAACTTCTATCAGACTACACGGCGTCATATTTAATTGTAAAATATTTTTATTTAGTCAGATCGAGCCTTTCTGTTCGTGTTATAATAGTCATAGAGCTATGGTATTTCGAAGGCACAATTCAAATGCAGACAGTACAATTCTTATAGAGCATGGAGCCATGAATAAGCTGCATTCATGACTAGAACAAACTCGTGGCCTGTGATTTGTTCACGTCAGTTGGCTAGAAGCAAAATTCGATGTATGTAAAAGTTCTGACATCTTTGTCACCCCAAGTTCTTAACCCCTATCCAAATCACCGTATTTTGAAACTTTTGAAATCTGCCACATTCATTGCGCTTATTATAAATACATTCTTCTTTATAACTGTCATTCTTTCATATTACAGAACTGTAAGACGTACTATAGTTAAAATTCAGAAGTTGCTACAAAGTCTTATATTAAAGGAATTAAGCTGTATGAACTTCTCCGACAAGCTGTCGGAATTTTATTCGTCAGCTATTGTCAGAGATTTCATTTGGTGTTCGCCAGAGCACTTTGCTGCCCACGGCTTCAAGCTTGTACGTTCTTTAAGCATTCACTGGCTTCTTAAATATTTTTTGCGAGTTCTTAAATTATTTTGCGGCGCCTTAGCGACTGCAGAGTTAACAATGCAGCCTTATTATCTGACCTAAATGCTACCGAAGGACGGTCCGAAAATAAAAAATGTTGGATAATACGAAAGACTAATGAAAGAGATGAGGTTGCGTACACAAAAGGTTGATATTTACTGTTCATGGCAGAATGTCAACAAACGGAATCAGTACGAATTTATTTGCCGTCAGGAGTGCGGTGAGGGTTCTCCATAGTCATTTTTGTAACTGCTACTAACATTTTCACTAATATCTGCTTCTAAGTTTCATACATAAGTGTATTATTATGCTTTAAGTAATTAATCTCGGGTTCGATTCCCGGCGGTGCCCGAATTTATAACTTGTGTTGGGCAAGGCCGTTGTCTAGGCAACACGGAGTTTTCCTCCGTGGCATCCCAACAATTACTCCATTCACACACAGAAGAAGGCAATGGCAAACCACTTCTGGATCATCTGCCAAGAACGTATATGAACAGGTCCCAGTCCGAGAAAAGGATGGAAGGATCCTGTTCATATGGACCTGTCGCCAGACAGAACACTAAATAATAAATAATAACTCAATTACGAAGAATAATATGATTTTAACAATTATTTTCTTTCTTCAATTATATATTTAATATTATATAATCATTCTTTTACTGAAAGGCTCGTTGCGCACATGGCAAAAGGTCACGGCTCACTGGTTGATAACCACTTGTAAAATGCAAAGGACCGAATGTTGGTAACGCTTAAGTGACAGTTTTCGTTAAATGTACAATTTGCGCACACGGTTTACGTATTCGTTAACTTCCCCTGCCAACTGTCTGCTGAATATGAAACCATCAAATGGCAGCGGCTTGAGAGTGGATTATAGCACTGGGGTGTGCCGTATCGTCTAGGCAGAGGATTAGTAAGGAGCTGTTCGTTATTTAAATCCCCATTGGTACACATCCTTCTGTCGTAGCCCTCAGTCGTCAGCTTCTTCATATATTCACAGAACGCAAAAATGTTTTGAAAGTTTTAATATTTTCTGTGCTATACACGAGGTGTAGCTGACTGGGGCATTATATATTCTGTCTTAATTTATTTCGTGCTTCGAAATGTATCCAAAAGTATTTAAATTTTCCGCCATCTATAAACAGTTAAGGCTAATTAATGTGTGCGATGAATGCTTAGCAACAGAAAGTAAGTTTTTGATTATTAAATAAGCCTACAATAATAAAAAAAATTCCTTTAAATGGCATTTGACGGCGTGTAAAGGATTACGAAACACATTTTATACAGAGGGGGACTTCGATTGGTTAGTCGAATGTTACTATAATCTGAATAATGGAAAATACTACGGAAACGTGGCGATTTCGGGGTTTGATCCTTGGGCCGGAGGCTGGTAATCCTTATTGGCCGTTTTCTGGCTTTTGTCAGTTCCTCCAAAAATACTGAGTTTGCACCTTAAAACAGAAAATTTGCCGCTTATTTCTACGTCCCTCCAAATTCAGAACGAGCAATCATTCTAACCTTCGACGCAGTAGAACCTAAGTAAGTAAGAAACATAAACAGGTATATCAGAAAATCTAGAACCCTAAGTATTCTTTTAGGCTATTAAATTATAACATTGTTAATTAATTTTTCACACCCAAAGATATATTTTCTTTCTTTCTTTCTTTCTTTCTTTCTTTCTCTCATCCTCTTTTAACTGTAGGTATCAAAGTTTATTTATTCATTTTCTTCATCTATTTGGACAACAACAATGCCAAGTAAATAAATAACGTAGCATTGTTTGATGACGTCATTTTTGACGACAAATCACAAATTTCTATAGTAGATTATGAGCCTCGATTCCGGACTTAAGTTTTTCAACTGCTAGTAAATACTTGTTTTAGTACGTAATATCATTGCCCGTGGCAGTGATGAGAAAACTAGATCCGACACGAAGCTACTTGTAGGTTGTTCATACCTGAACTAGAGGACCACTCCTATCGATTGTCAGCGACTTCTTGTTCAATATATTCGCGGCCACCTTCCATTAGGCATGTCTGGAAGTCGACCCCCCACATCCGAAAACCGAGTAAGAGCCTTACAGTGGTTACAAGAGACCCACTTAACAATAATGGGGACACTACACTCTTAAAATCACATATTCTTTCATTGATTACGTGTACCAACAGTACATAAATGCAGATTTTCTTTATAGTTCATTCAGCACACAGCATTAATCTAAACGTTTCCACCATGGTCCTCGCTTTTATCACGTGGTTGTTGGACTACTCACAGGTCAGCTTTACCTTAAATATAGACTTAATTGTTATTACCTGTAATATCGTACCCTATTATTGTTATTATTAGTATTATCGTCGTCTTCATCTCAGCACTTTTCAGTTTACTGCGTCCTTGACTACAAAGAAATTCCCTGCATTTATGAAACCCTAATGTTCATTGCTGTATTCGTAATTTTCCGCCAATTTTCTCTGAATCGATCCAGTGTAACAACATTCTCCGACCTACTTCTAAGTTCGTTAAGTGGTTTAACACATATAAGGTTTCCGATCAAAATTCTTCATTCGCGTTTTATGGTAATTTTATTTATTTATTTGTTTTTGTTCATTTACCGATGTTTTCAATACCTCAAATTATGTATTGTCGAATGATGGGTTGCCTAATAAATAATGTATTCGAAAGGATATTCCTCATTGATACTTTTAAAAACAAAATTACTGGTTTTTGTATTTTAAATTGTTTGCTGATATATATATATATCCATTGTACACTATCGGTTGAAGGATAGTCACTCAGTTAGATGTATTTCTGCTGCAAATTTTATCTGCAGGAATATTAGCATTTTCAAAACAGGTTTTCTTTTCAATTACTGGCATTTTTCGCCATTGTAGTATTTATATTGTTCACTATTTGGACACTGTTTTTGTATATTATTTGTGAATTGTCGTATCTGCTAATTTGGTTTTGCTGCATTATTTTATTTTTCTATTACTTTGTTTTGTTTTGTTCTCTTTGGTGCTGCCTAAATTGACTTTATTTGTTGTTATACATGTAAATAAATAAATTGAATTGAATATATTTTATTTTTATTTTCACACGACCTTACAACGCGTTCTGTCAATTAGCAATAGTGAATTCTTTGTACATAAACTACTTCTATTATTGTGATTGTTCTTCATGTTGTATTGCTGCCAGTGATGAGTTAAAAGGCGCTATGGCGAACATTCTCTGCGCC